GAGAGTCCAGCTTTTTTATTTCACTAAAAGAGGCAGAAAAATCTCAAACAAATTTCCAGGTCCTTTTGGCAAATTGGCATATATGTGAAGGGACACACCACCATTTATATGTTGCATATTTTTATTTTATTTGGCGACCAACCATATAACATACTGGATTTTCCTCGGGACCATCAAACCCGTTGATTATGTTGAATTCATGAGGCGGAAGCGGATGGCTCTGATTAAAACTTTGCATGAAGCTTCAGCGAAAACGATGCAGAGAGAGAAAGGGAACGCGGAAGAAAAAGTCAACTCTGGGCTGAGAGAAACTATCGCATGTGCCGCACTGCAATTTTTATTCCATTTTAAAGGAGATAGGGGGCACTGACTGTTTGGGTCCCACTAACCACCAACAGTAGATGCCACTGCCAGATGGGATGGGACTTTTTTTTTTTTTTTTTTTCTGGATTTGCTTGACAAAGACTTCATTTTTATCAGGTCGACTAGCTTCGTATTATTTGGGCTATCATGTCACGTCACGTAGCCTCGTACTATATGATAAAAATAAAAATAAAAACTTGGCTTCATACATACCCAAACTCACCCTATGTTTGTAAATATTTTCAAAATTAGAAAGAAGAAAAGCAACTTTGGTAGATAGGATCTATTGTAAATGGGTAATACTGACATTTTCCTAGGCCGCATGTCTAACGTTGAAATTATTGCAACCCCATTCCATTTGCATGCATAATTTTGTTGCTGACTTTTTATGTGTGAACTTGGGTAACACTTGGAAACTAGTTCAATTGTGTGCCACCTATTTTATTTTAAAATTAGAAGAAAGGGAAACTAGATAAAGCACCTCATCTACCACTTAATAGATACATCATGATTGAAAGTGATGATTTGTTATTTGTTCATTGGTTGGAGTTTACTTAATTATAAAGAAACTAATTATAATCTTGATTGACAGTCATATAATTTACAACTTATATATTTACACAAACACTCTATAAGGTTTTTAAATTTTTTAACCAAACTCCACGAGATTTTATAAATTACACAAACACCCTCTAAGATTTTAAATTGTTCTCACAAAACTCATTTTCATTGATTTCTTATCCAAAGATTGATGCTTTTATATAAAAAGATTCTTCAAATTACCATATTTGCCTTTGATATTAGATTGTGTATAAATTCATTAAGATTAATTTTGTCATTTGTATAAGTGTTTTTTTGGATGAAATCATGAATTTTTGAACGAACAATCAATGAAAAGAGATTTTGTGAAAATAAACTGAAAACTTAAGGGGCGTTCGTGTAATTTTTGAGACCTAAAGGGATTTTGTGAAAACGCCGAAAACCAAAGGAAGTGTTACTGTAAATAATTATTTTTTATTACTGCCTAGAAAAAAAATTATTCTAAATTTCATTGTTGATAAGATTCAATCACAAAAATATTAACAAAGATACGCAACAAAAAATTCTTCTAGTTATATTATGAAAATTCAGATCATCTGCTTTTATTTTCTCTGCTAATATCTGCTTTATTTTTGCCCTCAATCTGCCACCTCATTAAAATTTAATCTAACGAATTTAAAATTATACACATCATTCTTAAAACAAAAACCTAATTTACTCATAATGGAAATGCCCTAATCCTGTTAACGGAAAACTTAACTTCTTGTAGCAATTTGTTTTTGTTTGTCATTTTCTTCTTACCTCTGCTTTTAAGTAGTGCAGCCCTTCTTCTTCTTTATTTGTATTTATTTATTTTCCATTTTCTGCTAATTCACCCTCCAAAACCTTATCTCTCAGCAAGCTTTCTTGGCCGAGGAGTCTAAAATATATAAATCTAATAGCACGCCTTTGGCTAAAGTCTATGTTAACATTTGTATTCCCTTATTCGACATGGATTTCCAGTGAACCATTTTTTGAAACCACTTTCGCCATCCCAATTGACATATGGGAAGGGAAGATTTGTTTTTGTTTTTTAATAGGGTAAAAAAGAAAAGATGTTGATGTTCAAATATATGCGATATACAGAGATTTTTGGGGAAGGAAAACTTATTGCTAGGTAAGATTTTGGGGGACGGATGGGGAACAGAGAAAGGAAGAAGAAAACGAGAAAGGAAGAAAGAAAAAAAAACAAGTATGGATGACATTAACTTTCCTAGTAGCAGAGTTAGGGTAATTAGAAGTAAATTAGGTTATTTATTTTAAGAACGATGTGTCAATTTTCAATCATTTGGATTAAATTTTTATTGAGGTGGCATGTAGAAGGTAAAAGTAAAGCAAATTCTAACATAGAAAATAAAAGTAGAGGATTCAGATTCATAAAGTAACTAGATACCTTCGTCATGTAATTATACAATGATTCTACTTCACCAGTCTTTTTGGAGAAAACAAAATTACAACATAAATCCTCCAGAGATTCTAATATTTTGAAAATCATAACAAATTTTAATAGGACAGAATTATGTGCATATGTAAATGGATGTGTGGAACGATGATGTTATTATTTTGCTATTCTCAACTAATCACGATATATTAGAGATGTCTTTTTCACTTTGCACATTATCCATAGTCGGGAATAACAGAACAATTCACATAAGTTTTTCTGATATACATGGCCATGTTGATATTGATATTGATGGATGGGCTCGTCATCCATGGTCCATGCATGGCCAACAAAAAACAAACTGCTCTATCTTTTAATTGAATTTTCTCATGAAAGCTGACAAAACACAGAAACTCAGAAAGCAAACAAAGACAAGGACCTGCCTTCCTTTCACCTTCACCGCCAAACAAAACGAGAGAGAGAGAGAAAGAGAGAGAAGGGCCATGCCAACCAATCCACAGTTCACAGTCCACAGTCAGCCCTCGTGTGGCGTGGGTCCATCTCTCACTTCAAATCTCCATGGCCCACTGTCAGCATCCTACACCCTAGACCCCACACGTGTGCAAACCCAGTAGCACACACAATCCATCACCATCTCTCACCGGGACAGAAGACACCACACGTGTGACACCTCATGTGATAGGGTGATGCTGATAGCTCAAGCCTGACTTATAGCCTTTTTTTCTCCTTCTTTCATGGTCTTAATCTTTCCCGTACCATTTTCAGTCCGTACCGCCCTGCGCGGAGCCAAACGTAACAACAACCACGTTGCTGTTGTAGTATCCGCCAGCGCTCTTGGTTTCGTATCTTATATTCTGATATAGTTACCCTACTACTTCTTCTTCTTCTTCTTCTTCTTCTTCTTTCTATTTTTTGAAAATAAATAAACAAAAATCGAATTAGACAAGCGCGAGTTTTGAGTACTATTTTTTTAGTACAAACGATTAATTGAGGAAATTTACACAAATATTCATTGAGTGTCTGAAACATTTATTGGGTGCATGAGGGTTTCGAGAATTGATTACTTGGTAGAGGTAGAAGATAGCTTCATTTTCACACCATATAATATAATTATGAAAATCAAAACACACAGCATTATGTAGTAAGTTTCATTTTACTTTTTTACATTACCATTACTCCAAGAACTAAATAATAAAAAACTTTAGATGATTACATAAATGAGAAATTGATATATGCTAACATGTTTGTTGGGTCACAACTGACAAGTGAACAAAAGTAGCTGAGATATCAAAGTGCAGTAACAGAGTACATAAAATGTTGATATAAAACAAACACTGAAAAATTCATTATATAAGGCAGAAGCGAAGATGAATTGGAAATGGTTCCCATTTCGGTCGGGTGCCACTGCCAACATAAGTGAACCAAACTCTATGGGGCCTTATTTATTGCTGTGGGGAACCCTAGCCAGAGGCTAAAACCCTAAAAAGGGAGGGGTGGGGGGCTCATTATCTGCTGTTTTTAAATCAATGAAATTGGTGGACCATTTGTTTTTGTTGCGTGCGTGATCCTTCCTTCTAAATGAATTATGATTCTAGTAATCTTAAAAAAAGGAGGGACTTATACTATAAATTAATCTAATGTACAGAGAATGAGACTTGAACTTTGTTGCTAAAAATGAATTTGCTATTATAATCAATTGACCTGACTTACGTATACACTAGTTCTTAAAATATAAAGAAATGATGATAGTTAATTTTGACTTTCTTTGTTAAATTTCAGTGAATTTGAATATTGAGAAGATGATGCTGAAAACAAAGAAAATGAAAAGTTATGTCGTTGGACTCGAAAGAAACGGAGGGCATCAAGGCAAGGGCTCATGGGGCTTGACCATACCCACATGCAAACCTGCCCTAACTTTTGGTCGAATTAAAGGCCATGCACACACCCATTACACCTTGCCTTGCCCATCAACGACAGCCCATGTGGGCCCAAACCTCACATGGGATGCACCCACCAGCCCCTCTGGATCCGACGGTCCCACGTCTCTTTCCGCGGAATCGATTCGTTCATCTCGGTCGTTGGATTTATAAATCAAAAGTCTTCAATATGGGCGGCTAAGCTCTGTCCCAAGCTTGTCCCAATATACAGGGGCAACCGCCTCAAATGTGCTGCTCATGTCACAAACACCATAGCTGCCCATGTCTAAATTCATGGTGCCTAAGCTTCATCTTGCACGCTCTCTTATGGCGGGTGACTTCTACTTTCCCATTTGTTCAATTAAATAATGTTTACCATATGTTTGTGAAGAGTTAGACATTCACGTGCGTGTAAAATGGTTGTGCAACTTATTACCATTATGATGAAAATATTCTTTCGTCCAACAGTTTAGGGCTTTATTTTATATGAGTGTTGTAATTCTCATTCGAATGTATGACTTAAATTGATAATTTAATAACATAATATACCAAAATTACCAAATTATTAGGTAAGAGAATATTACTTGGTATATATTGCTATCAACACGTAATGTAAAGTGGAATGCACGCTCAAACGAGAGAAGGTGGGGGTGTACTTAGTTTTGTTAGTTTCCGTAGACAAATGTCGTTTGCCTTTATGACTTTATCTCTACTTGTATCTATATAATACCATTGAACTTCATTTGGCATACACACAATATTTTTCTACATCTCCCTCTCTTTAGCCTTCATCAACGCAATAGAGAAGAATTCAGCGTGGGTTTGGTTGGTTATTGTCAAAGCTTGTGAAGAGGAACAAATCCAGAAATCCATATTTGTCAGGATTGGCTGCAGAAAACAGAGAGACAAAAAGTATGGCAATGTTTGAGCAGGATCTCACCCTTGAAGCCACAGAGCTTAGATTAGGCCTCCCAGGCACCAAGGAGCCTGAGCACAACACATGTTCTAGTGCTTTAATCAGCAGGAGCAACAAAAGACCATTGCCAGCTGACATGAACGAAGACAAGGATTCTTCAGCTGCCAAAAGATGTGACCAACAAATTTCTCAGCCTCCCCACTCCAAGTAAGCAACTGCCACATATAACTAGATACTAATTATGATTAAGTTGTGTAATTAATTATGTTATTCTTCCAGAGCATAGTTGATGATAGACTTTTGAGGTTAACTAATATGGCATGTGGTATTATATTGCAGGGCACAAGTAGTGGGGTGGCCACCAGTGCGATCGCACCGGAAAAATTGCTTGCAAGCAAAGAAAACAGGGGCGGAGGGTTGTGGGATTTATGTGAAAATAAGCATGGATGGAGCTCCATATCTTAGAAAGATGGATCTGAAGGTGTACAGAGGATATCCAGAGCTGCTTAAAGCCCTGGAAGACATGTTCAAGTTCAAAGTTGGTGATTATTGTGAGAAGGAATTGGGGTACAATAACAGATCAGAATTTGTGCCTACATATGAAGACAAAGATGGGGATTGGATGCTGCTTGGAGATGTTCCATGGGAGTAAGTTCTCTGCTCTCTCTCTCTCTCTCTCTCTCTCTCATCGCTTTCCTTAATCAATTCTCTTATTTATTCTAGCTACTTTCTTTAGAAACTCAAATCTGATCATGTGGTGTTGTTTGTTTCTGTTCAGAATGTTCATCACTTCGTGCAAGAGGTTGAGAATCATGAAGGGTTCAGAAGCTAAAGGCTTAGGCTGCGCGCTGTGATTGATCAACAACTAAACAATTAGAAGAAGAGACTTATATGAAATATATATTCTGTCATGAAGACCATCAAGGACACATTCAGCTGCTTGCTTGGGCTTTCGCTGAAAGAAACAGAAACTTAGTTGAGTTGTTTGTAATGATAAAAAGTTTTTACAAGGAAGGAGTTTTCGAAAGAAGAAGGAAACATTTTCATGTATAGTTTGCCATGTTCTCTTCAAAGAAGAGTTGTACAAAGAAAAGAAAAGAAAAGATAAACGAAAACAAAACAAAAAAGTTTGAGTATTGCATCAATGAGAAAACTGTCCTGCATGCCTTTGAGCAATTTTGTTCATTAACTTTTTTGGTCGAAATCAGTAACATCATAAAAGCCTTGAGAAGGCTTCCTCTGAAATGGGATTTCTGCATTGTAGTCTATTATTCGCTTCGATTTCGTCTTGGGCTGCTGCAAAACATCAATGCCAGCAGCCTTTAATTCTCTGGTTTTCTGAAGGGAAGCAAGCCTTGTGGTCTCTTGGAGCTGCTTCTCCCTGGCTTTCCTTTTGGCCTTCTTGCCCTTCCTAGTGCTTGCTAACCCAGCTGGTGCCTGGAAAATCGTCTCCATCTCCCACTCATCCATATCAACAGGTACGGGGAGAGCAGGGTTTGACTCAGGATTGGGGTCGAAATCTCCAGCCATGAGCTTAGCAAATTCTGTGCTCCACTCGGCCATGAGCTTAACAAGAAAAATCCTTCTTACTCTTCCTCACTGTCAAACAAACAAGTCTCAGCAATCTATATATACACATTTCACAACTTTTCCTTTTCCAATTTGGAGCAGAAACTAGTGTCAGCCGGCCCGAACCAGATCCCAAATATTTGTGCTTCATAAGTTCATATTACAAAGCAGTTCAAGCAATTTGATTTTGGAAAAAGAAAAGAGAAAGCTTGCCCCCTCCCTTCAATCAAACAATATGAGTATCACTTTAGAATTTAGTTATTCTTTGTAAATTGACTGACAATTACACACCTCATATAATAATTAATATAGATAGCTGCGAATAAGTTGAACGCATATTGAATTTCCTTTTCATGTTCCGAATAGTTATTCTACCATTCAAATACTTTTCCATAATTTGATTTAGAGCACCAAGATAATTTTTATATATAAATAAATTGGACTTATTACACAACAACTTATTTATACAGTATTTATTTCAAACTGCTGAGAATGACACAATTTTTGGAACAAAACAAAAAAGTTCGGATCCTCTAATTTTCTTCGCATTGACTTTATACTTACACGCTTAAAACTACGTTGTTTTCTAATGCTAAATTTTAAACCCAAAATGCTTAGAGCATCCACAATGATAGTATCTATTTCTTAGTTAAAATTTAGCTAAAAATATAAGAAAACTATTTTAGGAGTTCTCTAAAAAAATTTAAACTCCAACCATACTCCATAATTTGGAGAGTCATAAATACTATAACTATTTTTTGATTGGTCAATCTCTATTAAAAAATAAAATAAAAAATAGTTAGCATTAAATAAAGGTTTGAAATACTCATTAAATAAATTATCATTAAATTATAGAGAGCCACTAGGAGTCCTTTCTCTCTCCTCAGATTTAGGAGCTCCTAGAGGACTCCCTATTTTATGAGGTGGATAGGGAGCATGATTTGAGTTGCATTTTTACAATTTCTCCCTAAAATTTGTCTAAGGAGGTGGTTTAAAGAGCCCATTGTGGATGCTCTTAATCTTTAAACTTTAAAAGAAAAAAAGGTTAAAGACATGGGAAAAATATGTATTAAAACTTTTTATATGGCATTTCAAATATGACAGTGATGTTGGCCATGACAATACTAAGTAACATAAGAGCATCCACAGTGGGGGGTGTATATGGGGGTGTATATTAACATACACTCCCGAGTCACCGAAATCGTTTCTAATGGGGAGATGTAAATTGATGTAAATATACATCACCACTGTATGGATATAAAATAAAATGTATATTTACATATATTTTTACATCCCTTGCAGGTGGGACCCACCCGAGAAAAGAGAAGAAAAATGAAGAAAAGTCAACATAAAAGGCTGGGACCCACGACTACACCCCTGAATTTACACCCCCTAAAAGTGGTTTTACACCCTCGAATTTATATCCCCTCAGTGTGGATGCTCTAACAATCTAGTAAAGAAAGCTATTTTGTCACTCAACTCTTGCCACACTGCAAGAAATAACAAAACAACGCGACATAAATTTTTTCTCCAAATATGGAAATAGGTTTAATTAACTATTATGTTTAGAGAGACAAACGAAGGAACGCAGACACACAGTAAAACATTAAAAAGGAAAAGAAAAGAAAAGCATCTTTTACTCATTCATCCTTCATTGCCACGGCGAGATAGATATTCGTATTATTTAATACTCGGTGAACCAATCAGTGCAAAGCAAAATCAATCACCAATGTCTTTTCACCTCCCCCGTTTTTTTCTCTCTCTAGAAACTCAAAGTCTCAAAAGTAAAAAGCTTTCTAAAATCAGAATTCATAAGCGTCACGAACACAACACACACATATTATGGAGAGAGAGCTGAAAGAGCATCGGAGCTTCCTTCTCTCTCTCTCTCACTGAAACCCTAATCTCCATGTGCGCGTGATCAATCACAGTAGAAAGGGATCTTTTAACCCTAATCTTATTTCTTAATTCTGAAGCAAAAGAATGGCGTCAGAGCTAGGGCAACAGACGGTGGAGTTCTCGACCCTGGTGAACCGTACCGCCGAGGAATCTTTCCTCTCGCTGAAGGAGCTCGTCGAGAAATCGAAGGCGGCACCGGACCAGTCCGATACCGATAAAAAGATTGGACTGCTCAAGTACTTGGCCAAGACCCAGCAACGCATGCTCCGACTCAATGTCCTCGCCAAGTGGTGTCAACAGGTCTCATCTTTTTACTCGCTCTCACTCACCCATCTATTATGGGGTTTTTATTTGGTGGCCAATTGGGAGTGGAAATTATACATTTTGGGCCCTCTTTTATGAATTCTGCGTTAAATAATGTTACTTTGGGGTTGTTTTTGTTTGGACAATATGAATTCCGTTTTTTCAAGGGCTTCTAGTTTCTTTCTCTTAGAAACTTGTAATGTAAGTTAAAGTTTTTTTTCTTTTGGGGTTAGGAAATAGATTTCGGTTTTGTTCAATACAATTCAAGCTTAAAAAAATGTAGGATTATGTTGATTTTTTGTTTGTTTTTGTTTTCTATTTGGAATTTTTAAGGTTTTGTTGTTTCTTTTTCTACCTGAGCGTTCAGGGTTTTGATTTGGTGGTCAAATTGGGGGGCGGAAATTATACATCTTATTTTTCAATTTGTGGTATTGGATTTGGGTGTTATTTGTTGTTTTCTGCATTGTGGGATATGCAAGATGATTTGACAGTGCATGTTTGTTTAAGTCTTTAGATGGTTAACAAAAAAAAATATATACTAGATAGTTTATTAGCTTGTGAAAAAGAACTAGTAATTTTACCCTAGTTATAGAGTAGTTTCTGAATTTTGAAGTCAAAATCAATGCCATGGATGTGCTCATCGGTTGGTCCAAGAACCATACCTTGTGCTGATATGCAGAGTTTAGTGTCTTTGATGCTTCATGTTCCTTGAAATGCAGTTGAATTCCTGTTAGCACATTTCATTTTGGAATCAATAAATTATATATATATATTTATTTGTTATCCATGCCTTTCTATTTGCAGGTCCCGTTAATACAATACTGCCAGCAACTCTCCTCCACTCTTTCAAGTCATGATACTTGTTTCACTCAAGCTGCAGATTCATTGTTTTTCATGCATGAAGGGCTGCAGCAAGCCTGTGCTCCTGTTTATGATGTTCCATCTGCAATTGATATCCTCCTAACAGGGTCATATCAGCGTCTGCCAAAATGTGTAGAAGATGTGGGCGTTCAGAGTTCACTAAGTGAGGATAAGCAAAAGCCGGCTTTGAAAAAGCTGGACACACTTGTGCGATCTAAATTACTAGAAGTGTCACTCCCAAAAGAAATTTCTGAGGTTAAAGTCTCTGATGGTACAGCAGTGCTTCGTGTCAATGGGGAATTCAAGGTTTTAATGACACTAGGCTACCGAGGGCACCTATCAATGTGGAGGATACTGCATCTGGAACTGCTTGTTGGTGAGAGATGTGGACTTATAAAACTTGAAGAATCACGTCGGCATGCTCTTGGGGATGATTTAGAGCGAAGAATGGCTACTGCAGAAAATCCGTTCACGACATTATACTCAGTTCTACATGAGCTTTGCGTTGCACTCGTAATGGATACTGTCATAAGGCAAGTACAAGCTCTTCGGCAAGGGAGATGGAAAGATGCAATTCGGTTTGAGCTCATATCTGATGGGAGTACAAGTCATGGGGGAAGTTCTGCCTCTGCGCAATTAAATCAAGATGGAGAAAATGATTCATCTGGTCTACGAACGCCAGGGTTAAAAATTCTGTACTGGTTAGATTTTGATAAAAACAATGGTATTTCTGATTCAGCATCATGCCCGTCTATAAAAATTGAACCAGGACCGGATCTGCAGATAAAGTGTCTTCATAGCACATTTGTCATAGATCCATTAACTGGAAAGGAGGCAGAAATATCTCTTGACCAAAACTGTATTGATGTTGAGAAGTTGCTTCTGAGAGCCATATGCTGTAATAGATATACTCGTCTGCTTGAAATTCAAAAAGATCTGGGGAAGAATGCTCAAATCTACCGAGGTAAAGGGGATGTTTCTCTTGAGTCCCATGTGGAAGATGTGGATGTTGACCATAAAAAGGTTGTTTCACTTTTTCTTGTTACTTGTTTCTGGTTCTTTTTTTTCTTGTTAAATTTCTATGTTTTTCATGCATGTGTATTTTTGGGGTTCATTTTCTTCATATTTTGATTCCATGAATTTCTGTGTGCAGAAAGATGACAAGTCCAATGTCAGAGAATATGAAGGGCAGGAAGTATTACGTGTGCGTGCCTATGGCTCATCATTTTTTACCCTGGGCATAAATATAAGGTATCCTTATTTGCTTATATTGTTATCGCTATATTATTACAGGTAATATGAATTATGACTTGCCAAGGGACTTAGATGAACGAAGAAAACTGTTCTTACAGCCAATATTGCTTCTGGCTAGACATTGGAACAAGTTCTTGGTGTACTTTTTAGGATTTTTCTGATTTTAAGAAACTCAGGACATGCTTGGTTGTTCTTTAGGACACAACTTTGGTATTCTTATGTAGATGCTTTAGAATGGTGTCTTATGTATCATCTTTGACTTGCAGGAATGGCCGCTTTCGTCTTCAGTCCTCCCCAAATATTCTTGCTTCTTCGGAATTTTTGTCTGAATGTGAAGATGCTTTAAATCAAGGAAGTATGACTGCAGCCGAAGTTTTCATCAACTTGAGAAGTAAAAGTATTTTACACTTATTTGCATCTATTGGCAGGTTTCTAGGCCTTGAGGTAAGCATTCCCTTTCTTCTCCTTATGAAATTTTTCCAAGAAAAAAAAATCACTGGGTGTTACCTTTTTGGATTGTTGAGGATTATGCATGGATTCACTTAATGTCCATGAGATAACATAAATTATATTTTTGTAGGTATATGAACATGGTTTTCCTGCAGTTAAAGTACCAAAGAACATTTTGAATGGTTCAACTGAGTTGCTAATGGGGTTTCCTGATTGTGGGAGCTCT